CAAAAAAAGTCTTGTAAATCGTGGTTCTCCCACTGGAATGTATTGAAATCTATTTAATGTGTTCCAATGGGTGAAAAAACTGTCTTGCAAAGCATTGGTCTTTAAAAAAAAAAGTCTTGTGAAGCACGGACCCAGACATCATCTAGCGAAAATCACCTATAGGAAAAACCATTTTGCGAAGCACAACAGCAATCGCAAAAACCCATCGTCTTGTGGGTTAATCGTCCCGCGAGACAATCATCTTGCGAGGCACTACTGTATCTTAAATCTGTTACTGACAAATAACAGAAGGCAAAGCAGTTCCTTTCAACTGCAGATGTAATCCAATACATCTATAGGCCATAGATTGAGGAAGGATGTACTAAACAATGGAGAAGTCTGAAGTTAATAGGCAGAAAATAAATAAGACCACTTAACTCGTTCCTGAAACTTAATAATTTCTTCTGCAGCAATTTTCTTCTTCTCCTCCCTTTCAGCTTCCTCCCTCTTTTCCTTTTCCAGTCTCAAAAGTTCTTCCTGCTCCTTTTTCTGTCTATTGTAGTCTACTAATAGCAACTTTATCTGAAACTGCCGTTGCCGCTCTTTCTGCTTTCTCTTCTCTTTCTCTTCCTTCTCTTGTAGCTGAGCTGCCTGTTTCACTGCATATGCAATTGCTTTCTGTCTCTTCCATGCTTCAAGCTCTGCCAGAGTTTTTCTTCTTCCCTCTTCTGCTTTTTGCCTATGAGCTTCTTCACGTTGAAGTTGAGCTGCAGTGAACATTTCCTCTGATTCATCCTTCTGGGCAAACATTTTCTCTCGCTGTTGTTGCTTTCTGATCTTCCACTTTTGAATGGCCTAGGGGACAAGCAAACTATAGTTTCTATACTACCATGTCAGTTCTCATATTTTAAACCTATCAGAGCTGAAGAAAGCATATCAAAACCCTTACCAACAAAAACCTAATCCTTGACTAAAAAGAACCTCATGCCAATAAGAATGCCAACAAGTAAGCATTCAGGTATTCCAAACTACAAGTACAGTGAATTGGTGCAGATTCTCAGTAGAATCTCACATGAAGTTTCATTTTGAATGTGGTATTCAATATACCACTGTGCTCCATTATCAAATACCAGTAATACTTATCTATCTGTCTAAGGCAAGGGTATGCAGCTGTGGTGGGTCCAGAGGCTAATTTGTGACCCTTCAAAGCCTATAAGGACCACAAAAAAGGTCCCTACGTTGCAAAAAATGAAACGTAAGGTGGTTCCAAATCCACCTCCAGGTTTGAGGGCTATTTAAAATGTTAATTCTCACACTGAAGACTTCCAGGAGTTGCCATTTAACTTTTTCTGTTAGGAGAAAATGACTAAAATATGGACTGCTTCTTATTCCCTGCACATTTTTTCCTAACCTGGATTACAACTTTATTGCCCAAATAAAAGTACCTTGTAATATTCTGAATACAACATTTCTATTAAATAACATTTTTTATTTTTATTTACTTTGAATTGACAAAGTAACTAACATTCAAACTATTTTGTATGAGCTTTTTAATAAAAAATATGAGAACAAGTGAAGAACCATGGCATGTGGAACTTGGGCTCAAATGGGGAAGTGGCAGGGACATGCAGGCTAGCCAGGGAATGGGTTCTGCATCCAGCTTTCAGAGACATAGCTAGAGGTGATGAGACAGGGTGGCTGGGGAAAGTGGTGGTAGTAGTTAGCTAGCAGGTGCCGACAATGATGGGAAAAGGGAATGCAGAAAGTGTTGGCAGCGGTCACAGTGACACCAGCCCTTACAATAGGCAAGAGGAACCAGGGAAGACATTGGCAAAGGAAAGCAGCTGGGACAACAGCAGGAATAGCAGATGCTCCAGGCTGAGGCTCGGTGGCCCCACAGGCTTTAGGAGCAGATGCAGTTTCACAGCAAATACTACTGTATCCTGAAGCCACTGGTGTGTAAAGGAGAAGAGAAGGATCCTCATCTAAACAGCTTTAGGAGAGGCAAGCTCCAGGCCCATGTAAAGAGCAAAGCTGATGATTAGAAAAACAACTAACAGCTGGTGAACAAAGACTGAAATGGGACCATAAAGAGAGAAATGTAGCAAGAGGGGAGGTGTGTGGTTCTTGCATAAAACCAGTGAAAGGCACACCTCTTTTTCTGAACAAACTGGTGTTAGTCCTGTTCTCTGTGACTGACTGCAGAGACACAAGAACATGCTCTTATGTGCAAAATAACATTATTATTATTATTATTATTGTTGTTGTTGTTGTTGTTGTTGTTGTTGTTGTTGTTATCATTATCATCATCATCATCACTATTATTACTATTATTATTATTATTGAGCGCCATCAAGTTAATTTCAACTTTTGGTGACTCTTTTCACGGTTTTCTAGGCAGACAATATTCTGAAGTGATTTACCATTCCTTTCTTCCAGGGGCATCCTGGGATTGCGCACCATTATCTAAATTTATTGAATATTTAAAAGGAAGCAATATCAGGAGCCCCAAAAAAAGAGCAAAAAACCATGAACTGTTTGCATTATCAATGTTGATGCTCAAACCAATCAATCTGTGAGAATGCTGTGATTTAAAAAAATCTTACCTCCTTTTTTCGTGCCTCTAAAATCTGAAACTCTTGATACCATTTCTCATGCTGCTGAATATCCTCCCTTGTTCTGTCAGGGAGAAAATCAAGTGCTTCATTGATGTATGATGGTTTGCCTTTATGTTTTGTCAAAATTTTCAAAAAGTTTTGATGATCATATTCATCCCAACCCCCTTGTCTCCCGCCTGTCTGTTGAAGGAATCTTTCAAGCTCAATGACTTCTTTGGGCAGACGGCTTTGGAGCTCCTTATCCACTGGGAGTAAGCCTTGCTTATATGATGTTCCTCTTGATGAAGCACCCGACGCCCATCTTTCCATTTTCCCTTCCAAAGCGTTAAGTTCCTTAGTAGCAGTCTTCTCCTCTCTCATTAGCTCCTCATATCTGAAATAAATTAAGTAACATAACAAATTATTGACTATAAAAACACTATTCAACAATTACCAACAAAAACTGGGAGTCCAAAAATTGTGTGACCTAGATACTGTTTTTATACACCCCGTAGTGAACAGGTACTCTCTGAATGGTGTACAATTAGGAGATCATATTACAAACACTGCTGGCCAGCCGGCCACCATACACACGGGGGGGGGGGGGACAGGGATGCATGTTCCTTCGGCCCTCAAAAATGTTGAAAATATACAATGTGGCCCTCATGCTCAAAAGTTTGGAGACTCCTGATTTATTGCAGGAAAAACAAGAGTTCCGTGGCATCTTTAAGACTAATAGTTTTATTTAGCATAAGCTTTTGTGAAAGGCAACCCATGAAATGCACTCTTCATCTGAAGAAGTGGGGTGCAGATTGCAAAAATATGATGGAACATTTTAAGAACTGCAATAGGTGATACCTTTGCCCAAGCATTCCCACCCCCCAGTGATTCAGCACAACAATGAAAGCTGTGGAAGATCTGCCACTTCATCCCTGCGGCCCATTGCACTGATGGCTCTTCTTTTATCATCTAAGCCACTTCTCTAGCAGATAACTACATTTTCTTTACTAAATCATAAACGTAGATGGGGAGAAAGATGACTTTAAAATGTGGTTTGATATGACATTTTAAACATAAACATTTATTAGAAACATTTATTTAAACATTTATTAAAAACAGATAAGCAAAACAAAACTCATCTCAAATGCCAATTTTACATCAAAATAGTAAAATTAAAGAGGAACAAAATGGAAAATTATTGCAAAATTCTACAGCTTTAGAATTAACATTCTACAAACTACAGCTATATTTTAGCACAACATTCAAATTCAGCATCAAAGCATGTAGCATGCTAAGGAAGAACTCTTTGCTGTATGGTTGCGATCAGACTCTGGCAATCCTTCCGGAAAACAGCACCCTAGTTTCTTCCTTAATGGTTTATTCAGTGTTGTTAAAATTTTCCATTTCAGGAATGGTTTGGAGTCATAAATATTTTAAGCTGAACTGTTTAATTTGGTAAATGCTGTTCTAAAGGAATTGGTTTTACATCTGCTCTTGCCCTCTATGCTTTTTAAAATTCTGCTTTTAGGTTTATTTTTATCAATTTCTTCTGTCTGACATTAGCCACTTTCAGTGCTGAAGAAAGGTTACTTTAAATATTAATTTAAAAAAAAACCATACATTTGTCGCTGTTCTTCTTTAAAAGCATTTATTGCCATTTCAACTTCCTCCATCATTTCTCTGAGTCTGTCAACAACTACAAAATAAAGGGAACATATTTACTCATTCAAAAATAAAGAAGCTTAGGTATACCAATAACTGAGTTTGAAGAATCGGGAAATCAAGAGAAAACCAAGGCAAACCAAACTTACTTTCTAGAACTCTAACTCCCCAAATCCCAAGCTAACACAGTCACTGGTGATGCAGGCTGGAAGATTCTGGGAACTGTAGTCTGTGTCATTCTTCATCTACTTACCAAATACATTTACACCTATTGAAATTCATTCTTCTACACAATTAGTAATGGAGCCCTTTCCTTGCTTACATCCGTACAGCCCAGCTTTCACCCTTCCCTCAATCACAGCTCATCCCTCCTTCATAGCTAAATTTTAATTAATACAAGCTGAAAACTCACATTTAGAAAAACTAGGCAACTATTTCCTGCATTTACTAAATGTAGCCCAAATGGCATTAACTTGAAATCTGTGGAACAGGCATCTCACTGAGACTTCTCTCAAAAAAAATTGCACACAGAATGCAGATTCTGGAAGTTGAGATGCAATTCTGCTTAATCCAGAAGAGGATATAATGACAATCTTTTCTGATTTATAAGTTAGGAAAAAGTACTATGCTGAATATTGTACAGGCAAGGGGTTAACTTACAAAACAGTAATTCAGAGATTTTGCTTGTTTTTAGAAATCAATAGTAAAAGACTTACATTCTGGTGTTGGCTTCACATCTTTTAATTGCCGCTGAAGCCCCTTAACATTATTATGAATTCTGATCAGTTTTTCTTGGATTCGAGCTTCTATGGAAAAGGCAAAACATTCTTTCATTTCTTTAATTCTAAACTACCTTCAGTATATATATACTTTTAATACTTCCATCAGCCTTTCTGCTCTGATAAATTGAATATTCATTCCACCTTTTTTCTGATTACTGTATTAATGGTAAAAACCCCAGTTCTTCTTTGATCAATACTTATTGCCCAATACTATACAGTGGTACCTTGCAAGACGAATGCCTCGGGCAAAGAAAAACTCGCAAGACAAAAGCGTCTTACGGTTTTTTTGGTGTCCCGCAAGACAAAGATATTTTCGTCTTGTGAGGTACGTTTTCCCATAGGAATGCACTGAAATTTAATTAATGCGTTCCTATGGGAATTTTTTTTTAAAAAAATCACTTACCAGGTAGGGAGCTGGGGAAGCACCATCAGAGGACTGGCGGGGATCCCCTGCAACCGCGATCACCACTTTCAGAGGTCCCCTGGCAGTCCTCCGATGGTGCTGGGCAAGACTTCCCCAGCACCATTTTTTAACTTCCCGCCTTTTCCCCTGCCTTTTTCCATTCAGAGGTTTGCTGAGCACCATCGAAGGCAAGCCTCCAAATGGAAAAAGGCAGGGGAAAAGGGCGGGAAGTTCAAAAATGGTGCTGGGGAGGCTTGCCCAGCACCATCAGAAGACTGCTGGTGGACCTCTGAAAGCAGTGATCATGGTTGCCAGGGGACCTCTGAAAGCGGCGACTGCGGTTGTGGGGGACCCCTGCCAGTCCTCCGATGGTGCTTCCCCAGCTCCCTACCTGGTAAGTGACTTTTAAAAAAATTCCCATAGGAACGCATTAATTAAATTTCAATGCATTCCTATGGGAAAACTCGCCTCGCAAGACGAAAATTTCGCAAGACGGCAGGTCTCGCGGAACAAATTATTTTCATCTTGCGAGGCACCACTGTACTTATTTGCCCTGAATTTAATTCCTCTGTTATTAGTAGGCTTCACTCCCCAGCTAAGGGGTAAGGCTACATTCCCTGGGTAGAAACTTTACTAAACACTAGCTGAAATCCTGTTGCTTAGCATAGTAAGACACAATTAGAGTAGGCACATCTGAATCAATGGAATTCATAGAGGTGGTTACTCCCAAATCTCCACTGATTCAATTTGCCTGTTGTAGTGTGACTTACCACATTTCAGCCACTGTGGCAGTGATTCAGTATACTTAGTAAAATGCTTAATACTGCTCTCCAGCTCTTTCCAAAATATGAAAAATGGCTTTCTCCCCAACTTAACAGTATTTTTTAAAAATCCTTGCTATTTCTTTTTTATTTTCTTTAATCAAAAGCCTATCTCCATCACTAGGGAAACAAATTGGAATCAAGCAAGGAAAACAAGCTTACTTTCTGCTTTCCGGTTTTTAGTCAGTTGGTGTTCCAGCTCTTCCAGAGTACAATATTCCATCCTAAAGTCACTCTTCTTATTAAAGAGAAGGATGTTTTTGTCTTTTTCAATGTTCACAAGTCTGAGGAGATATATGTATTTGATAAATCACATGAAAAATAGTGGTTAATCTCAACAACCAAAATCTGTTATCCATCTTTGCAACACATAGTCAAAAACCATGGTTCCTCTCTTAAATGGAAAGGAATTCATTTTCAGGAAACCAAATACAATAAATGGTTCTAATAATCCTAGATATCAAATACGTACAATACTTCACTCATAAAATACAGGCTTAATCCACACAATTTTTAGAGTAACAAAAAAAGAAATATAAACAAAACACTATAGACAATGAGATAAAACCAGAAATGCTGAATTTCAAAGTACTTTTCTTTTAACCTAAAGTACTCATGGGGTAGAGTAGATTTCTCAGAGATAGGAATCAATAACCTTGCAAACCTATTCCTTCAGGCAGAAATCAGAAATGTGTCACTTCCAAAAAGATCACTGCTGATGTTATCATCAGCTATATATAATTTAACTTACACAAATGGATTTCAGCCAATATCTTAAGAAGAGGGGTTTTTTTGTCCACTTTGGTTTCTGCATCATTGGTTTGTGCCATCTTTCTTTAACAGTGATTTGCTAATTGTTTTTAGTGTTTTTATCTCAATTTCCGGTTTTATGCTATATTTATTGTAAACCACCTAGGGTAGTGCCTCGGCACTAATGAGAGCAGTATATAAATTGACTGATTGAATTAATGAATTAATGAATGTGAGAAATATCATTTTTTTTCTATATCAGCATTTTCTATTTGGACCGATTATTTAGTTATAAAAGCTAAACTTACTGATTTTTTAGTTTATCTCCTATTCTTATAAATTCAATTTTCTTAACTTGGTCAGATTTTATCTTCCAGCTTGGAAAATGTTGAACAGCACCTGGAGTACCAAAGCAGCTGTCATTCTACACAGGAAAGAACAGAAAAAATAACTGGAATCAGACACTCTATTTCTTCTATAAAAGGGTATCATAAAACGATTAAAAAGGGAAACCCAATTTAGTCTTAAAGTGACTCACATTATACCTCGACATTTTAATCACAACACACCAGTGTAAACAATCCATACTTCCCAATGTGGAAGAAATAGGTACAGATGGTCCTCTTTTCATTTATTTATTAAATGTTCTTCTGCCAGAAATGGCACACAACGTGTGTAGCCAGTAACCGACATGTTCAAACTTGTTCAATGTCAAATCAATTTACATGCCCAGAGTAAGAAAGCCTGGAGCAGAAGTACAACAGAGAGTAATCCAACATAGCTTTCATAGGGAGTTCCAGATCTTGGTAGCAGGTGCCATGGTGTATCCACACCAAATGTGCTTCTATTGCCAGTGGTACTAAAAAGATTTGCCTCTCCTGCAGATCTTTAAATCCTGATGAGAATCTCAAGTGACTTGGTCTCAAGTCACTTAAGGCTCTATAGATCATAATCAGCATCTTGAATTGTCCCCAAAAGCAGACTAGTGTTTCAACCAGGAAATGACATGCTTCCTATCACCAATTTTAGTTAATGGCCTATAGCTTTTAATTCTGGCAGATCCTCAATCATCAATTTATTTTTAACTGTTATTCAAAGTGTCCTGTGCTTCAGTTAATCTGTTTCTTTCTTTACTATACCTCATTTTAGTGTTAGCTTCCTTGAGTCCTATTTGGAGGCAAAAGTGGGTACACATCTATTTTTTTTAAGGACCAAGAGCCGAGCTCAGGCTGATGGCTCAAACAGGATTCAAGTGATAATGTGCACAAGAGGGTGAATAACACTGACAAGAGACCACCAAAGATGTTTTACCCAGGCAGCCCATTTCATCCAATGCTTGATGGGCTTAACCATCATGGCTGATGACTCAAACTTGGGCAGGGAAACTACAATTGTTTGGTGCTTACATTAACCAAGACTAGAGAAATATCTAATAACATAGAAACCCATCTGTGAAAGGAGGCTATGAGTGATAGCTTGTGACTTGGCTACAAAATGAGGGCTTATGATTTTATTAAGGAGTCAATTACTCTCCTCCACCTCTCTCACACACCACTCAAGTATTGTTCTAACAGAAGAATTAATTCGATCTCTTGTATTTTATCTCACCATACGAAGCAGTTTCTCCTGCAGTGCACAAACATGTGCCTGGTCTTCAGGTCACTCCTTTCATTCTATGAAATGGGCGCAGCCTCTCGAAGTTGCAGAGAATCAATTCATAGAATCCGCCGCCTATATAAGTACTGTACAGACATACACCGGCCTCAAGGAGGAAATTATCAGTTTAATCCGAGCTTTATAAATCCAACGTAGTCCGGCAGAAACCTACCTTTCTCCGTTAACTTCCTTCTCCCCTCAAAAAAAATATACGCACACAATCACATACTGTATACAGGTAGGCATCCTTCAGTCTCAACAGACTATGGTAACATGCTCTGAATACAGGAGAGTCAACAGAAGGCAAGATCAGCAACCCCGCGCCCTGTATTCTTGGGGAGGAAAAAATGAGTTGCGGGCGACCTCACCTGCCGCTTCTTGGTTACCTCTGCAGACGATCCCGTTGCTAGGGCGGCCATGTTGAAAGCCGCTGAAACAGCCCGGTTGGCGCCATGGACTTAAGGAGGTGACGTCATGGGGAGGAAAACGACGCGCCTGGGCGGGGCTAGCGTCGCCACCTGTCCCCTCGTTGGCCTTCCTAGACTCCGAGGCGGCTCGCGGTGGCGAGTGACGAGACGCTGGAGGGCGGGGCCGAGTTCGGAAGCGCGGCTTTTGGGAGTGAGCGGTGTTGACATTAATGCCCCGTGACACAGAGATAGGAAGAAGGCGGGTTGTAATTCTGTGAAGGGATGAAAAGCCTCGACCGCGATGTCGAATGGACTTGAGGGTCCGAGGCGTAGCGGGTACCGACAGGTTGCGGAAGGCGGCTCCAAGCTCTTGGGGAACGTAATACCGACTTCCCGTTGGGTAGAAATATTTTTCCCCTCTTACTTGTCAGCGACTTTGAGCTAATGCGTGCAAACATTGAACACTAGCTTAATTTCTTGCCGTTGCGTCAGCCTGGAGCTTCTAAAGCAAGTCAGTTCTTGAGGCGCATCGAGAATTATGATGCCTCTTTAATAATGTTTTGCCCCAGGCTACTCAGTTGAAGGTAGACATACCTATTCTGGATTGGATCCCATTGAATTCTAGAACTTTGAAATATGCACGCACAGAACGTATATAATCAAAGTGTGATTGCTCAATATATACCAAGACTGGCAAAAAGTACTTTAAATGTTTTTAAAAATATTAAATGTTTGTTTCGGTCAGATGTGTCATTTGGAAAAAAAAACAGCAACTAGGCAATGACTGGCAGGCGCATACATTAAATTCTGTAACTCCCCAGAGTTAATTGCTGCTAACCAATAAGGCACCAAATCGATAGCTCAGTGAAATGGAGCAGCAGGCAGAAATTGTGAGCTTGAATCCCCACTGTGCCTTTTAGGAGAAGAGCCAGCCTGTGTGCCCTTGGGCAAGTCCTAGAGCACCCACAGAAGAAGGGAATAATAAACCACTTCTGAGTACTGTACTCCATATCTGAAAAACTCTGGAAAGGATGACCATAACCCAGTTGATGGCATGTAATTTATTATTAACAAGGCACCAGTTGTGTTTTGAGGCATGTGGCGACTTGCATAACAAGGCATTTGCCCAGTTGCATCTTGTAAGGCAATTCATGCTTAATTAGTTAGCAGTTCACTGTTGTGAGTTAAACATTTTAACCTGCACACATGTAAATCAACAAGTTTCCAGTCAGCTCATATATTTTTAAACATTTAAATAGCACAATTTATCTTCCTTTCAGATACATTAGTTTCTAGCAGCCATGCTAACTCCTGAGACATATTAAGTTGTAACTTCTGTACTCTTGTACATTGATGATAATAAAGATCTCAAGTTTCGGGAAGCCAGATTTCATCTGAATATCAGCCAAAACCTCTGAACTGTTGGAGCAGTACAACAATGGAACCAGTTACATCAGGAAGTGGTGAGCTCTCCAACACTGAAAGCATTCAAGAAAAAAGACAGCCATCTGTCAGATATATTTTAATCTAGATTTCTGCATTGAGCAAGGTTTTGGACTTGATGGCCTTCTAACTACATTATTCTATGATGTCAATCTCCGTTTCATTTTTAAAGATTAAACTTCTAGCTTTCAGAACTGCTGAACTATATCTCCCACAAAACCAGTCAGCATGGATGTTATAGTCCAAAACATTTAGAGGGACATCAGACTGCCTATTCCTGATATAGATTATATACAGGTGGAGGAGCTTAAAATGAAATTGAAGTGGAGGGGATGAAGATATTCCTGTAGGTGAATGCAGACCATATACAGAGAAGTCATCTTATAATGCTGTTATAAGTTGTCAGTGGATAGTCTAATCATGTTCAGTTCTGGTTGTAATGAGCATGTTCTATTTCCCTTCACTGACTGTCTTGAGTCACCAACATAATTAATATTAATATACATTAATGCTCAAAGGCACCGAGCAGGTAGACAAGAAAGACGCCTTCTTACAGCATGTCAAAAATTTATAGTTAAATTTTTGAAGACTGCCTTTTGATGATATTTTAAAACCCAATCAACTTTGTACAGCAGCAGCGGTGAAGCTGTGTCCCTGCAGATGTTGGGAATTCCATCTCTCATCTCCAGTCAGCATGATCATTAGCAAGTGATAAATCAGGAAGCCAGGTGTTGGTTGATATCAGCAAAAACTTTCTAACTGTTGGAGCAGTGCAACAATGGAACCAATGACCTCAGGAGGTGGTGAGCACTCTTAACACTGGAGTCATTCAAGGCAAAAATAGACAACTGTCAGATATGCTTTAATTTGGATTCCTGCATCGAGCAGGGTGTTGGCCTTATTGGGCCCCTTCCAACTCAGTTACTGTTCTAGGATTCTATAACAAAAGCTGAAGTCTAGCAACACCCCAGCTATACAGGATCATCAAACCAATTTTTGGCAGAAATATGAATATATAAAAATAGATTATATATGAAAAAACATTGCAGAGATTGATACTTTTTCCCATTTGCCAAACACAAACAGTGTTGGTAAGTGCAAACAAAACAGCCTGCACTGAATATATTTTTCCATCTAACTGATGATATCAGAGCACAGTCTTTGTCCTTTCCCCTTGTGTTCCTGCAGTTAAGTTTGATTCCTTTGTGGTGGTGATTTTTATGTACTTCACTTTGAATAACAACTAACAAGTAGTGGGAAGCATTTGAATGCATGAAAATAGTCATCAAACCACATTAAAGAGAATTAATCTTACTGATTACTTATCCAAAAGAACTGGAAATACCTTTTTGTTTTGTCACTGCAGTACTGTTTAATTCTTTATGTCTTGTTGCAACACTATTATTTTAAGGAAACACATTCTTTTTGTTGCAAATTATTTTGCTTTTCTACAGTATATTGCCACAAGGATTTCCAAACTTTTTGATCACATTTTAAAGCCCACAATGCTTAAATATCTTACCATATTAAAAAAAAAAGAACTGACCAATCATTCCTTCAAAATTTTGGATTCAAAGACAACCCTGCCTATCTGCTGAGTGTTCTTTTTCCCTATCTTTCCTGAGTTGGTGGCAGTTGTTTGTTTGCTGTTGTTTGGGTAGTTGTCAAGTATGTGTGCAGTAAACACACATTTATATTTTCAAGCAACTGTAAGTAAAGAAATCTTTTAAAATGTATTCTACAGATGTCTCAGAGAGTTATTGAGGCTTTAAGTTCCACTTACTGAGAAAGGGGTGGACTCTGAGAAACGTGTAACTTTTCTCCTCTATGAGACTCTGTATTTCTATTGTGTAGCAAAAGGAATTTTATCAGAAATTCAAAACTCTGCAACTCTAACTCCCAGGAAAATTTATATAGTGCTGAAACCTATGTCATATAGAACCCAAGACAGAGTCCTTTTATGGGTGCCCTATAAGTGTAAATCTTCTTTACAAATCCCTTTACAGTACAGAGTTTGAGAGTGCTGGAAGGACAGTACATCACACAGTGGGTGCTTCCAAACAGGATTTATTTCTATAGTCACAGTGCCCAAAGCATGGGATTTTACTAACTGGCTTCCAGATAATAATTTCTTCCATCTTCAAACCTCCTACGTTATTGTCCATTTCCTCTGGCTTTCGCTTCACCATGTTCAAGAGTTTATTTAAAAATTTCCATTAATGCCACCCCATTGGGATCCAGCTATAGGAGGAACGGGGTAGCGGAAATGCTGTTTTAGTGATGTATGAACTGGGACTGGGTTCTGGTTCACGTGTAATCCAAGCAGTCTACCAGTTTATTTTCTTCTGGTTGGATCCTAGCTCATATTTCTATTAACATTTGAAAGAAACTAAAGGATTGCAATTGTATTGCAATGTGACAAGTAATCATGTTAGAGAAGCATTGATCACAAATGACGTGGTGAGAAAAGATGAAAGGATTATAAAAAGAAGAAATAAAAAGTGGGGAGGTTCACTCACCTTTAAATGGAAGCACTAAATTGCATAGTATACCGTACTTGTGGGTAATATTTTCTGTACTTACTGTACATTGTTGTTATGTGCCATCAAGTCAGAATTGACTTATAGCAGCCTTAATAGGATTTTCAAGGTAAGTGAGGTATTTAAGGAGTGGTTTTACCAGTTCCAACCCAACCCTATGATTTTCAGTGGCAGAGCCACTGAATGTCTAAATTGGACCAGGTTCTGCTGAGTCCTAGTCCATTATTCTACCACTGCACCGTAACGGGTACCTAATAATTAACATCAAGTGAACTGGAACATCACAAAATTGTGTAAAAGCTTTCCAGAATTCTTCATCAGACTGATTGTAAAGCAGTGAAAAGGAGAGTTGGGGGCAGGGAAGACTGATGTTGAAGCTGTTTGGTCCCCAAACATGGAAAGAGAAGGATCCCACTCACAAAGGGGAAAGGATCTGGAATATGGGGAGTGCCAGACATGATCTCCACAAGATGTAAACAATCAAGTGGGCCCATAGCTGATGGAAAGACAAAATGGTATGTAGCGACAGAGATGACACAGACTAAGAGACAAAATCTGAACAAATCCACAGACTATAAACCATCAATAAACTAAACATATTGGTGGCGGTGGTTCACTGATATTCCTAATTATAAAAAGCCATAGTAAAATCCTGTTTGGATACTGTTGTGATACGACACCAACAACAGCTTCTCTCCTAGGTGAACAGTAGCTGGCAGGAAATGGGATTTTTTTTTCATCAGGATCATGATCTGGGAAGCAGTGGTTTGATAAA